TTTCTTTCTTTAGAATAAATATAATTAGAGTATTAGCTAGGCTAGTAAAATAATAAATTTATTTCTTTTTTAAGCTAGTATTAAGATATTCTTAAAGAACTTTAAGCTTCTTTTCTAATAAAATATATATAGAACTATATAATAATTAGAATTCTAATTCTAGATCTATATAATATTTCATTATATAGTAATCGAGTAATATATTTATAGCCTTTATAAAAAATACTCGAAAAAGGTTCTAATATTTCTTAGGAAATATAATTATCCTATTTATAATAGTAATAGTTCTTTAGCTATTTATTATAAGATAAGTAATTAATAGAAAAATATATATCTTATATTTTATTATTTTAATAAACTTTCTAGTATTTAGAACTTTAATTTTCTATAATTGAATCTAGTATTTCTATATTATTTTTCTAAAGGAAATTAGGAAATTAACTTAGTAAAACTATAGAAATTCAAGTATTATATTAATATAATTTAGATTAAAATTATATAATATAAAATATATATTAGCTTTTCTTTAATTCTCTAATATATTCTTAATAATAACTTTAAGAATATAATCTTTATATAAATAAATTCTTCTTTTTTCTAGTAAAAATAAGAAAGTTATTCTTAATATTAATAAAATACCTATATCTAAAGCTAATTTCCTTTTTATATAATTAGCCTTTATACTCGAATTAATTAATATTCTAATCTTTTACTTATTTTTTCTTATTTTAATAATAACCTTAATTATTATTCTCGTTTTAAAAGCTTTACTTTCTATAATATAAATAAATATAACTATTATAAAATATATCTATTTCCCGGCTTCTTTAGTTCTAAATACTTATATAATTTATAGCTAGACTTATTATAATTATAATAAGTCGGTTTCTCTTAATTTAAATAAATAGTAATATAGTAATTCTTTTTCTAATAAATAAAGCAAATTATATCCGGTCTTATAGATTCTAATATAAGTACTATATTAGATTCTATTACTATATCTTTATTATTCCGGTTTTATAAATCTCGTAACGGAAATATATTTCTTTTTCGTTTTCCTTTATTATTTCTTTTTTCTTTTCTTCTATTTTTATTCTTTTACTATTTTATTAAGTTATTATTATATTTCTATTAAATAAATAAATTTAAATTATTTATAACTCTTATAGCTATAGAAATAAGCTTTTTTCTTTCTTATAAAATATTTCCTTAATAATTAATCTTATTTCGAATCTTCTATTTTAAGCTACTAAATAAATTATTTCGCTTTTATAATAAACCTATATATCCCAAATTATCTAATAGGCTATTAAAATAAGATATAAAGCTTTAGATATTCTAGCCTGGCTATTATTTAATATCTTTAAACTTAGTAAAGATATTATTACTATAGTTCTCTAGATCTAAAATAAAATTCTTTATAAACTTAATAAAAATCTCTTAATTTATAATATTAATATTTACTAATTACTTTCTATATTTCTAGATATCTCTAGCTATATTCTTAAAACAAGAAATATAATATATAACTTTTATTATATTAGTAGCCCAGGTAATTCTACTATTTTTATACTACTTTAACTTTATCTAATAAAAGAAATCCTGGGCTTCTTTAATATTCTTTCTCTAGTAAATAGATAGTTCTCGGGTTTTTAGAGTTCTCTAAACTAAGAATACTACCGGAAATAAAATAGATTCTATACTAGATATTCAAATATTTTTAAAATAACGGATCTGAGCTTCTAGCTTCTCTAGATTCTCTCTCTATTATATCTCTGCTTCTAACTTAATAATATAATAGCAAGCCGCTACTAATTTCTCTATTATTATTATCCTACTAGCTAGTTCTAGAAGTATCTGAGTTCTATTACCTTCTCCTAATTAGGTAATATAAAAAGTACTTAACTAGATACTTTTCTAGATATCTAGCTAGATTACTCTAGTAATAATAGAGATACTTCTTCTAGTTAATATTCTAGCTATTAATAGTTTTATTTATTAATAGCTTGACTACTTCGTAATAAACTGCTTTCCGAAGATTAGATTAATTAGAATATAAGATATATAATAGCAGAATAATATATAAGTAATTAAGATAAATAAGCTATAGAATAATACTTATAAATATAACTAATTCCAAGAATTAATTCTAATAAAAGACTAATTAATACCCCTTTCTAAAGCTAGAAGCGTTTCCCTATATATTTCCTAGTATTTAGCTAAGCCTATAAAGCATTTTACTTAACTAGGAAATATAATCCTATATAATTCGTATAATTCCAATTACCTATATAATTCCAATTATAAGCTTTACCTAAAATAGAAAACTAGATCTATAATATCTAATACCTGCCTATATACTATTATATATATCTATTATAAACTAGCTATTATATAATTAGTTCTTAGCTATATATTAATAATTAAGGTATATATTATATCTATTATAATTAAATCTATTAGATAACTATTCTATATTAAGGCTAGAGATTTAAGAAGTCTAAAGAAGTAGTTCGTTTTATATTAGGATATAATTGTGACGGCAGGAACAAAGCAATGGAACGATGCTCAAAGATCTATAATTCCAATATCCTACAGAATCTAAAGCTAAGGAGAGAAGGAGTGAGGTGTGGCAGTGGATAAGTAGGTATGGCCAAAACCACTGAAACGCCGAGCTTTGGAAGCGAGCTTAGTTTGAACCATAGCTTGGAACCTTAGCTGAAACCAACCCCTTTGGCTGAAACCACGTTCGTATCAACCATGTGACACCAGCCGTCACAATAATAATAGGCAAAACTCGGTTCTTTAGTTACTAAAATAGCTATAAATAGAGATATAAAGAATATAAAGTCCTAGAAATCGGTAGTATATTAACACGACGTCTTGCACCCGGACTATATATTAGAGACGGTAAGCATTAATATTAGAGAGTAAGGATATACTCACGACTATTATTAGCTAAGTCAGGACCTCAGAGGTCATTATCTATTACCCATTTGGAAGCTCCGTAATGGAAGATGTATCCCCATGTCAGTAGACCGCTCCAAAGCTGCAGATTCTTTGCACTCGAAGACGCAATCCCCGATCGACGTAAACTGTGCAACGCGAGACAAGACATTCTTGAAAGACCCAGCAACGCTGAAATGGAAAATTTCGCGCTTCCACAGACGCATTGCGCTTTTTCCGGGGGTGGCTATGAGCAGCTGCTCGCCCAATGCTGCAAACAGACAGGGAGACCAGGAGGTGGAATGGCGAGCCTACAGAAGCCTGTCCTTGTCATCAGTGGCCTAGATACAGATATCAAGGTTTCAATTGTAGTAAACATCTACCGTGCGAGTAGATTCCTGAATCCAGTCTTCTTGAGATTTTTTCAGGATGCACAGTAGTGCGTCTATCCATACGTATTTGCATCCAAACGCTCGCGTAAGGAGTATCAGATCACATCTTGTCTTGAGGATACTGGGGAAGCGTGTTGTATGGCATGCCGGCCATCATCCCGTTGATGTTTTCAGTCGTAAGTTTAAGAACATCCGCTCTCCCGCCCCCATCGATAGCTAAGGATTTTCGAGAACTGTATAGACCTTCGCAGCGCGTTTAACCTTCAAAATTTGGCCAGATTTGATGGCCCTGCCAGCAAGCTGTGATTTAGCCTCGAAAGACGCTAAAAATAGGTCTATCCCTTCGTCCGGTGAGATATAGTCCACGCTAGCAAGGGGGCCTGGCTCAGACTGTAAAGTCGTACCTTTGCTTAAAAACTTATTAGTCATCTATCGCCTTTTCGCCCTGAGCCAGGCCCCCTTGCTAGCGTGGACTATATCTCACCGGACGAAGGGATAATGGTGCTGCACGGTTGTTTTGCGGTGTTGCGGTGGCGTTTGGGGAAAATAGCGCCGTTCGTTTGTGGACTACGTTAGAGTATGGCTTGATTTTCGCCAGCTACCTTAACGAATGCTCAGAGCCTTTGGTACCGAGACTTGACGGTAAGCACTCAAGATTGCCACTGACGGCAAGGTAAGGGAGCGGCTCTTTCAATTGTGTTAGGAAGTGGTCACGTAATAAGACCCTTAACCACTCCGCCATAACAACCTGCAAAACGGTACGATATCGGTGGCTAAAGGCCCCGATTTCCTTATTAGACTCTATCCTTATAACGTCACCTGACAAACCGTAACATGTAACCTGCTTTGATGATTGTCTGAATGTTTCAAAAGGGTTTCTCCTGTGTTATGGATGTAGTCATCAGGCAGGGGTGCAACTCTTTCAATCGTAACTTGTATCCTGCTTTGGCCGTTACTTGTACTTAGACAGCTTGAAAGGATGCCTCCTGTGCTGTGATAATGAGGCAAGGCTGCTTGAGAGAGGATTGATGGCACCAAGCCCCATATCCTCAGAGACTCCAACCTGTGAACGTTTTGGAGGATGTAAGGCACAACTGGCATTGAAAAGTCCAGAATGTAGAATTCTCTGCCGGTGATCCAGTTGGGTGCAAAAATGAGAAAATTAAACGGCCCCTGCCCGTCATTTATACGTAGTATTAACGCGGTTGGCTCTTGCGCAATGTTGCGTGACACCGCGTTCCAATTTGACTGCGGAACGGCGTCCAGGACCTGAAATTGCTCAGTTTCACTTTCAAAATTGACTTGTGCCCAGAATCTGGTAAACTCTCGCCTCATCCCGCTTACCAAGTCAGAGTGAGGTATCGAGTCTAGAAGAATGTAGCAATTCTGATAGCGAAACGCCGCAAATTTGGAATCCTCGGCGGGGCGGCTTATTATTCCACCCTGTATCACATTCGTTCTCAGAAACCTGTTGGTTCCAAGTCTCAAAAGAACGACATACGAAATGCGGTCTTCTGAAATCAACAGCGGCCAACCATAAAAGTACTCATTGCGTTCTTCGTCCTTGAATATGATGAATCCGTCGTCCGGCTGAGCTCGAAGTCCAGTGTTCGTTATGGTAAATTCGTTTCGAAGCGGCTGAATGGGTCTTTGAAACAAGCTAAACAACGCAGCAGAAGGTGCAAACAGCCCGGTATACCTTGAAGCGTTTGCATCTGCTTGCCAGGCGAAAAGGGAGAGATCCGAAGACCGCTTTGCGATTTCTTCTTGCAATCGACGAAAGGCATTCGAGCCTTCGCCATACAAAAGCGGCATGTGAACGTTGAAGATGCCGAGCAAGCAATACGCACCGTCTTCCGGCCTCGTGGTCTGTCGTTTGCTCGCCCACCGCATCTTCGTGGCGACTGCAGTGTTGCTGAGCAGCTTTCCTAAGCTCGAAAGTCCCGTTGTAGCCAGATGCAAGATGCCCGTATCGATCCCTGTGATTTTCGAGAGAATCGCTCGATGCTCTGTCTTTGTGCCTCGCTCGTGCCACAAACGATCAAAGAAATGGACCTCTCTCGGTGCAATGAGTTCCTGCAGCGTCCAGCCGCGAGAGAACCAGCGGGATTTTGAAAGCGCTTCTTCAAAGGTTTCTTCTCCCTCCAGGGCAAGATCGGACAGGATCGCATAGCAAGCGTCGCATTTTCTGTACCTGGGTTGAAACTGCTTTTCAGCTTAAGAGTCTTATTCAAGAGCTAATAATTAATCTCTCACCATTGATACATTGAGTTGATGGCTTCACTCAGCTCCGAAGACGAGCTTTTATTGATGCAGCACGTGTCGACCCAGGCATATCGCAGGCCGGACTTGATGGCAAGCTGACAGGTTTTCTGGATCTTAACATATCCTTTCCGTCCACGCACTTGAGCTGAAGTCGGATCTTTCTTGAACTCGTCAAAAGTCACTTCGTCGTCATCCCAGGTGTGCGACAGGATTGCGTAGGGCGGTAGTTCCTTTCTAATGAATTCCTCCAGCGTAAGTGTTTCGGTGTTGATTAGTCTCATGGCGGCGTCTCGTCTAGACCCCACTATTAATTGGTGCCGCAGTCGTTTTTTGATGATAAGCAGATTTGGCTAATTTTTACACCAGGCATTGCATTATTCAAGGCAGAGGGCAAGTTTGTCAAATCCTCGGATGAAGCGAGATGGAAGTCAGAGGCAAAGCAAACCAATAGAAGGTCCCATCCACAGCACGTGCGATGTTACCCGAGCACCCTGTCGATCACATGACTTGTAGATGGTCATATGACGTAGTTACAATCACATGACATATTCGCATCATTTATCGTGATGTGTGTCTCGAGCCTTCCCCTTCCCTCTTTGTCAGATCATTCTGGTTTATAGCACATTACATTTCGTGAGAAGGTCGGATTTGTACGTTGCGGAAACAGTAAATTTGAAATACAGCAGAGCAGCAGCAGAAAAGACTCGGCATGACTTCACTTCCAAAGAAGCTTTGGAATATTGTAAAATCTAGACTAAAAACTTGCCAAAACAAGATGGGTGGGCCGATATCTATCGTTACGGATCCAATGCTCTGTCTACTTGGTCTCTCACTACATATTAGATTCGTAAATCATGACTACTACTTCGGTGTGGGTTTAGTCATCGACGAAGATCTCAGCTGCCAAATATTCGTTTGAGTAAAAGCCCACCAAATATGTCTTGTCCAGGGGATCCGACGCATCGATTGAGTCGATTGCCATTCCCATTCCCTCCGGTCAACCGGCCATCGCCATCATCGCAGTCATCGTCCTTTCGCTTCCGACTTCTTCTGTCAGCAACAAACATTCCTCTTGTCCACTGGCCTACAGTCTCCACCCTTAGATCCTCACCCTCGCTGATCTCCCATTTAGGGTCGTCATAATCCACGCAATACCATATGGTCAGTACATCATGGACTGGCACTCCTACAGTGTCTCTAGAAACCCCTGGACTGGTTGAAACAATTTTGTCAAACGTAGCCTTCATAAATGCCGAAACCCATTCTGCCAAAGGCGACTTCGCAGCCAACAGCGGCTCAAGAGATGCCTCGAGGTCACCGCGAGCGAGCACGTGCTTCCCAGTGATGTCGATTGGGAAAAGCGTGACGTTCAACCGCTTTGAAAGATTGTCGGGGTAAGAGGGAAGGAACGGTAGAGGCGCCACATCCTCTTCCTGTTTCTCGCACAGGGGTAACGGTAGTGCAAAAGGCATCACTGTGTGAGGTTTCGGTGATGTAAGAGTGTACACTCTCGCCGCTGCTATAGGATCTGCAAAAGTATTGAAATCCGCAACAGGCGCTGTCTGATTTCGCATATTTAGCAAATCTCGAATGGGGCCTGGCGGTTGCCTGGTGAGCCTGAAAGGCGGCTCCGGGATGTTCGGAGCTTGCTCCAAGCTTGAGGGAGGTTGAAGAGCTGGATTGTCAGCCTGATCGATATGGCCACCCATGACCACAATCTCCTTAACTTTTAAGAACGTCTCTGGATCTTCCGCTGCAGCAAGGGCGAGGTTCGTCATTGGACCGATTGCCACGATTGTGATGCTGTTGGGCTCGTTGTCGCGCAGCAACTTTAGAATCTCTAAATGCGCAGGTGTTTGAGATTGGGTGAAAAGAGAGGATGGATTTTTCATCTCTTTAGCTATTATTTCACTTTGCTCGGGAGCAGAAGACGTTTCTGCCACTTCCAAGAGATGCTGCCACGTCTCAGCTGGCGTCAGATGCGGCTGCTGTCCAAGCTGGTCAATAAAATTCGACCCGTCCTCGAACGTGTTTACATACGCTCAAGTGAGGTCCACCAAGCCCATCTTGTCCATCTGCAGCAGCCAATATGAGATCCACGTCCAAGCTCATGCGGCGGTTTGACTTACGAAAGAAATCAAGCATCGACGCATTCTCAGCGAGCGGTTGCTCAGGGCCGATAGCAACTACTACAGGCTTCGAACTTCGAAGAGTTTCAAATCCCAAACTCCGTCCAACGCTTTCTCGCCACGCAATCTCCTTGTTCACATAGTGGAACAGTGAGATGGCGTTGCGTAGGCAATTTTGGAGATCAATGTTGCCGTATGTCACGGAAATGAGCAGCACTTGAAGCTTCTCTGGCGATGCTGAGAGTGCCAGCAGTATCGCCAGAATGTCATCGACCCCCTTCCAAAAGTGTCAGTCGGTTCACTGCGTTTGTCAAAGGCAACTGGAAATGGGCAGTATACCGGGTCGGTGTCTATGATAATCTTCCGCGGCGCCATTGTCGCCGATGTGAACGAGAAGAGCTTTCTTTTGCGGTCAAGGTCTGTTGAGACGACAATATTTGCTATCTCAAGTAACGGAAAAACCACAATCGTTGGGTTGAAGACCACGAAGCGAACACGATCGACTACGGAAAGCCATAAGGATCAGAAGACCAAGCGATTTTCGAATCTGGTTTTCGACCTTCAATGTCTGATTTGTGGCACGTGCACACCCAACCAAAAATCGCCTACGAAGGCGCACAGTTTTGAAAACCGTCCATTTTTAGTGGGGTGAGGAACACCAAAATCTCACACTTTTAAAAATTGCGCATCGCAATGCGACCGCGTCCAAATATTTTAAACTAAGATCTAGGCAAAAGAAAAGAGGCTCAAGTATCTTTCCTTTGTGTTTTAGTAATTCTAAAACTCTAGCAAGCTTTATTGCGATTTTCAAAGACGAGGGGGGGATTTTTCAGGATCTCGCTTAGCGAAATGGACGATTTTCAAAACTGTGCGCCTTCGTACATATTATGCCCTCTCTTCCTGTGCCTCTACTTATTATTACTGCTTAAAATATTACTCTCTTTTTAATTCTTATTTATATATATACGAGAGAGGGGTGAGAGAGGGGTAGTTGAACCTAATTTTCCCCTTTAATCACAATTAACTTTCGAACTACTTCTCTTATAAGAAAATTTTTGGTAGCACAAATATTCTCCTTAATTTAGGCTTTCTATCTAGCTACTTATCTTATATTTTAGGCTAAAACTAATCTCAATACGGCCATTTTAAGTAAAAATGAGCTTTTGAGATTTTCGTAAGGCTCGCTTATATATTTAGTGCCTTGATAAGAAATACGAATACGGGGCTTGATTCTCCAAATACGAGAGGTATTTTAAATTTAAGATATTATTAAATTATTAATAATAGTAAATAAATTTTTTAATAGAAAGACTAGAAATTAAAGGAATTATATATGAATATATTCTTATATAAATAAAATAATAAAATATAGAGATAATTTTTAGGGGTAAGAATTAATAAGGTATTAATACGTATCGATTCTTACGATACCTGAAAAATACCTAATACTATCGATACCGGTATCAATGCCTCAGGTATTTTTGCCGAGCCTGAGAGATACCACCTCAGTGTTGCATAAATATAGAAGCGCAGCACTGTTATGTACATCTTCGTATTTATTGCTTTATCGCAATAATTCGAGGCTGTTGTAAAATACCCATAGGCTGGATTGCATACTCATTATGCCAAATGGGTCCTTCAGTACGCCAGGCCTGTGGTCCAATAAAAACGGTCGTCCCTGTAGGCATATGCAGAGGGCCAAACGCATTTTCCCGATTTCCAAAGCTGGTGATTGAGAGTTTATGTTTTCCTTCCGATAACATGCCAAGTTTCAGAGAATGCGGCCGAAAAGCAATCTTGCCTAGAACTTGCCCATCTACTTCAACTGACAACAATGGCGCGACGAAGCGTGGGACCTCTAGCACTGCCTGCCCGCCGCTGTGCTCAAAATCACAATTGTAGATAACATTCCCCGCATAAAAAGGCAGTTCATGTTGTGTCCAATCGCCAAATTGGAATTTAGATAGCTGGGAGGCAGTGATCGTTGCTTTCGTTCCACGGATTTCGACTCCGAAGTCTCCCAAAATATAAATTCGCTCAAGATTTGTCATTAGACCATATTCGTAGGTTAATTGGATTTCGTGAGATCCGCTCGGGATTTTGGGTAACCTAATGGTCGAAATGTCTTCATCAACCCACCAAGATTCGACAGTTGACGGAATGACATTGCCGTCGAGCATGATATGGACGTCCTTGGCATTTTCCAGTGCGAGGCGAGAAGTCAATAGATTAACTTCAGATTTGAACTTGAAGCGCAGACTCAACTTTCCTTTCGCCTTTCTCGATTCCGGTGGGCTAGCGTGGGGTTGTCGAAAGGCCTCTAGTTTGAGAGGAATCCCCAGACGATTCCGCATGATGTTATCGATTCGAAGAACCTCTTCTTCGCCCTCCCAAGATCCATCATTCCAGAGAAACTTGGCAAAATCTAACAAAAGAACGTTGGGCTCACTAAGTTCAACATTTCTTAGTGTGACAAGACAAGTTTCGGCCATTCCTTGGGCTGAAGCTTCTTCTGCCTTCGGGGTAGACGTCTCACTATGCGGCGTCAAGCGGAGGAGGAGACTGCTACATCCTTCGAACAGGTGAAAGAAGCTAGTTTTTCCGTTCCTTCTAGTTGACGGTAATTCGCTATCTTGGCCCGAAATAGTGTCAAGGAGTGTCAACCACCACGAACCTCTAATGGATACCTGGCATTTCGAAGCAACTTGTTTTTCTGTATTGCAGATAAAAAGAAACTGCTCGTCGCCGTCTTGACGAAGCTGATAGAGAAGGGTGGAAGACATGGTCGATTGGCTGGTAAGACAATATAATGGACCATCCGTAGTGACCGCAGAGATGTCACGGTGCGCCTCAAGCGCGTCTAATATTTTGGATTTCAGCCAAGGTACCTCTATGCTGCCATGAATCTCGACGGGTTTCTTAGCTGGGATGCCATCGATGAGTGTTGGTGAAGTTCCAGTCATAATTACTTTGCCTCCTGCCTGGGAGAATTGTCGCAGCCGACTTAGTGTTGTTGAACGGATTGTGCGCAGATTAGGGACGATGACAACCTCGTACTCCGACTGGCCCACTGGAAGAGTGTTCCCAATCTGGTCTTTATGAGTCTGAGATTCGAAGAGGCTTTCTGATATGAAATCAAAATCAATCAGTCCATGCAGGAGCCAAGTGGTAAGATTGAGAAACGCCTCATCTCGTTCCTCCTGTTCACCTTTGGAGCTGTGGATGGGGCCGAATGCCAACCAGTAGCTTTCAATGGGATGAATGACCGCGACGCGGCAAACGGCACGTCCTCTCGTCATTGCCACATTCACTCTTGCAAAGTGGTCTTCGACTAGTGGATACTCAAGTGACCATGGGCTTTGGTATCCAATCGAAGCTGGGAAGTCTCGTTTTGCTTCGCCAGCCATAGTGACCCAAGACAAATGATGAACTCTAGTTGTAACTCCCAAGGCAGCCTGCCAATCACCCGCAAATTTATGCCCAAGAAAGTCGAACATCCAACTGGTGACGCCGTATATCTCGCTCATAATCCCACGGATACCGCTCTGTCGTGCTACACTCGTGGCTTGTTTAACCGTGTTGTATTCAACCCAGTTACAGAGCATATCAACCCCAGGCAAATCAAAACCGCGATAGCATCGCATTGCTTCACCAAGTGCTGATGTCTGGGTGAATAATGTTGGTTCGTCCATCATGTGCCCTGTCATTGCAAGGCCATTTTCTCTACACCAAACTGAGACTGGGTCGAGATATCCTTCGACAAATCGGTCACAAACGTGGTTGTGATAGTGATACCTCGCGAGGCTAGAAGAGCCGTCCGGTAAGTCCCATACAATTTCTGGCAATGAATCTAGAATGTCGTATCCGTATTGCTCAGAGAAGGTGTCTGGTAGATCTGTAGTCCACGGCAGGAAGACATCCCAGGTATCTTCGGCAAACCTCAACTGGGTTTTATGCGCGAATTGAGGTTCGTCGGTGAAGATAGATGGCACCGTCAAACCAAATTTATCACCAACGGCAACTTTGTAGACTTCATGGGTAGCGGCAATAAAGCGATCAGTGGCTTCCTTATTGAGTGTGTCGGCATAAGTGTAGCCGTTGAACCATTCTGAAGGTGGATTGGGTTCCATATACGCATACCAAACATTTCTACCACTTTCTCCATCGCCCAATCGCCGGTAAACTTCCATGCAGTCGTTATTTATGGCCACATCATATCTTGCTACAAGATGTCCTAATTCACTCCTAGTGGCCCGGCCAGTGCATTCTGAGCCTCCTTGAGCACTAATAATTAAGATTGTTAGCTTGGTCCTGATAAAATATAGACTGGGACATTTAATATACCGCCATGCCACTTGCTCGCCATAAGGTTTGCATGTCAAAAGAATATGTTGCGCTTTGAGATCAGGGCGATTTTCCATGACTTTCCCACCAGCGTATCCACTCGGCCACCTATCCTCGTCATAAAGGCATGCGAGCATTTTCTTACTCTCGGCATAGTCGACACAAGACTTTACAATTTCCATGAATTCGTCCCCCAAGTATTCCGTGTCCAGACCGGTTCGAACGTGTATTGTGAATCCGCCCATGCCCATCTCAGCTAGATGATCTATCTGGCGAAGCAACTGCTCGCGATCGAGTTTCTTGTTCCATGTCCACAAAGGTGCGCCTCGATACTCGCTGCTTGGGCGAAGGAAAAGAGCTTGGTCAAACGGTTCTGAAGCTCGAGGAAAGCTCCTAGGATTGGGTGGTCTGCCTTGGAAACTTGCGTCGCCCATTATGTTTCTATTTTCCGTTCAAATCAGGGTTGGTATTTTAATCTTTGGTGTCTGACTTTTGGCTCTTTACCAGCTGATATTGGGAGAACTGATCAATTTTAATCAAGGTAACAGAATATCAGCTTTGTCACCAGAATTTCCAGGGTATCTGCACTCCCACTCGCCTTCTGATATCCCGAGCGCTCAGGCCATCTAAGCGGTGTTTTTGATAGCTGAAAACCATATCCATGGACCCTTGGTTCCCCACCGCAACCCCAGGCGCCCCATACCCCATGTCTCCTTAGCGAGCGGATGACCCAAATTACGCTATCCGAGGGGTGATAGTAAATATTCTCGTCAGTAATAAGTACGAGATGTCAGAGAGAAGTGAAATGGGACCATATTCTCGGAAGCAATTAGTACGAGATGGACGAGGAAGTGGACGCCTTTCAATATTCAGTGGACTATTTCCATTGCCCCTCGTTGAGACGCTCGGAAAATTGTCGAGAAGGACCGAGAGGTTTTCTTGGCGAGCCCAAATATTGAATCCCATGACTCCAGGTACCTCGGCTAGCTCGTACTAATTGCTTGCGAGAACCTTGCCTTATCGAGTACCTAACGCATGGAAAAGAACAGCCGGAATTCCCTTGCAAGCCTCTTCTGGCAGGAGCGAGAAAGGTCTGCATGCTCTGGACCGTGCTCCAACGTGGGATTCCCAGAAACCCCAAGATTCTTTTCAGCTGGGGTAAACGAGCCTCTTCTTTACCGATAGGAGATCTATAAAGAGCGATTGAATCCCAGTCTCTTCTCCTCAGAAGACAGACATACCCACGTCCGAAAATTGCTACATACATCCGTTTACCCTTTCTATCATTGACCAAGCCTAGCTCAACTCTTTCGTCCCTCATTATGAGGATTTTAGACAGATATCGTGTATTGCTCTGCACATGTGTTATCTCGCTAGGAGCGTATGTGCACCGATATCCCCAGCTTTCTCTCTGTTTGAAACCCTTGCTAATTTATTGCCTTTGACTCTAGCATTGTCATTGGAGTTGACAGTGGCATCATCGGGACGACTCTTGGACAACCATCCTTCTTCTTGTACATCTTCAAGCCCGGAGACAACCAGACAGCTTTGATTGGAGCCATGGTTTCAACCTACTATGTGGGCAACTGCCTTGGCGCCGTGATATCTGGTATTTGCCTCGAGAAGTTTGGTCGGAAGTACACACTCATAGCCTCAACCTTTGGCACCATTATTGGGGCCGCAATACAAACCGGTGCCATCAACGCAGGCATGATGATTGGCGGTCGACTGTTTGCTGGCCTTGCCGTGGGCATCTTAATTCCTGTTATGCCAACTTACATCTCGGAGCTCGCTCGACCGACAGAAAGAGGGCGGCTGATTGGAATTATGGGTATGGGTGTTGCCGTTGGGTTCTTACTCGCAAACTGGGTTGGCTACGGCTGCTATTTTGCAAAGGGTGATGTAGCCTGGCGTGTAGCGCTTGCGATGCAGATACCACCGGGACTGGCCTTATTGATTTTCAGCTTGTTCCTCCCGGAGTCCCCCCGATGGCGTGAGTACCACCCCAGTAACATAGTAATGCGTGTTTTTGAGCAGAGCTAATATGTCTTAGTCATATCCCAAGATCGCGGTCAGGAGGCGGAGGCTGTACTACATCAACTATATCCTGAACAAGACGAGAATGAGATCCAGATTACGCTTCTAAGCATCCAGGAACAGGTGCAATTTGAAGCCCAACAACGGTCGAATGTCAGCCTTGGTCATGCATTCTTGGAACTCTTCAGCAGAAAGTATATCAAGAGAACACTTTTGGCCATCGCCGTTATTCACATTCTCCCACTAAGCGGGGCAAGTGTGGTACAGAACTACCAAGTTCTTCTCTACCAAGGACTCGGCTACTCCGGAGAGCAAATTTTACTGATCAGCGGTTGCTACGGCTTCATGGGAGTCATTGGCCAGGCAATTAACATGTTATTTGTAGCAGACAAGTGGCCGAGAGTGCGTACAATGTGTAAGTTTATCTGACTCCTTTATTACGTGTGCCTGACTGATTTCTCTAGGGGTCGGGTGTCTTGTCACCGTAGTCATGCTTGTGTTGATTTTGGTTCTATCACGCTTCTATGGGGACGGTAGTAATATCAACGGGGCTCGAGCCGGGATTGCATTCATATTTTTATACTCTGGGCAGTTTGCTGTCTTTTTCAACTCAACCATTTTCGGACTTCTTGCGGAACTATTCCCGCTTCACCTTCGCGGCTACGGGGTGTCCATAGCCGGAGTAACACAAAGTATCACCATCATCTGGTTATCTCAGATCACGCCAATTGCTTTCGCGGCCTTGACATGGAAGCTTTATCTGATCTTTATTGCGGCAATTATAGTTCTAGGCGCTATATATCGTATCTGGCTGGTGGAAACTAGCAATCTCACTTTGGAGGAGATTGCCGACTCCTTTGGCGATAATGTTCTAGATATTTCGGGGAAGACCGAGAAAGTTGCAGCTATTGAGGCTGACCAGGTCAAAGTCAAGTAGTTCGTTGAAAATGCCAGTTTATGTATGATCCATGAGATGGAATCAGAGTCTAATTAAATATGCCTCTGTTAATGCATCCGCACGCATGTCTTTTTGAATGTTTACAATAGTGTGAATAACATGCGTTTCAATTTTTGAATGATTGGGACAACAAATCTTGCGTGGACTGATGCTTCCCATCTTGTGTTTCACGTTGGCGAATTACCTGCAACCGGTCTACGGGGGCTACTGGAGCTATTACTCTCTATTGTCTCCTCCAGTCCCTCAACTTTAGGCTTCTGTCCATACACAACATATCTATCACCATAGTCAGTCAAACACTTCCCCACCACCAGCACATCAAAGAAGGCATTCTCATAGCTCAATAAGTATGAATCTTAGAGTTCCTCAAATATTTCTTCGCTTCAATCAAGAAAGCAAGTATTTCCTCCCTCTACTATAGCTCTATGTTAAATGAAAACAAACTCACCTCCTTCAGTTCATTGTTCAAATTCGCTAATATTTATATCTTTAACTCTTTATACTTAGGATCTTTTAACTAACAGTTCTATAGCTATTTAAACTATATCTTTACTATATTTACAATCTTTATTTCTTTATAAGTTCTTTATACTCTTGAATAATTGTTAAGAGAGATTCTAAGTTTAAGAAAACTGTTGGAATTGCTCTCCGATTGTAGCAATGGTCTCTAAACTATAGTGGGGGGTGCCCTATTAGTACTGAGTCACATGCCTTAGGGTCCCTATATAGATGAACCTTCAGGGCTCTAAAGAGCCCTAAACAGCTAAACATACGGGGTTCCGGAGACCCTGAACAGCTGAGGGTTCAGGGTCTCCGACCCTATAAATATAGTGGCAAATACCCTGTAAGCCTTAGTGTTTTAGGCACCTATATCCAACAAATACTTTAATAAAATGTTTGTATTATGTTATAAGTAAACTATTATTCTTCAAACTCTTATCTTTACCAAAAAATTAAATGTATTCTTTAATATATTAAACACTTCGTTAATTGTTAAATTCCCAAATCTAAATAAGAGCAGTTTTTATATCTTTGAAATAATTAATGTATAATTGAAGATATAATTAAAAAATTGTATTTAAGTTTATTCTTGCTTTATATTATTTATGATTAAATTTGAAAGAACGAATAGTAGTTGAATTAAAGATAACAGTGATCCAGATACGATCTTAAAAGGAGAGAGTAATTCTATCATGATCGATGACATCCTCGTAGGCTACACATCTGCTCAGCTCATGGTCGCTCAAATGAACTCTACGGCACCTGCAAGGATCGAAATCCAAGCCCTACGGCTGGGACAGAGTGTATATATTATCGCCATAGCGGTCGTCAATGGTGCCATTGTTCTCCTCGTTATCTTCGAAGCTATCAGGACTCTCGGGTGGAAGAGACTCAACACTTTCGGCTATATAGATCCTCAAAACTTGGTGGTTGGCGGATTAAGGGGTGGTAGTTACCTTCAGGCTGCTTTGGAAAGTGACTCGGATCTTGTACATGTTAAGATTCGGCAAAATGGACAGTCCTTTTCGGTGCGGAATTGGGAGAAACGGGACAGCTTGGGATAAGGATTGCAAACTCGCCACCAGTCGTGACATGGTTCGCTTCTGAGATTGTCGTAGACAATCGTCAGACTGGCGTTGATGTGGAATCAATGCATATGGCGTCGTAATTTGTCATATCAAAGAGGCGGACAATGTCCTAGTAATAGTTGTATAAAAATTAATAAGTTAGAGGGTTGAAATATGAATGCCGAGGCCACCAGCGAGTGGGGGTAAGGAAAGATTCTGGCGCAAATTTGCATGATACAGTTGGGAACGGCATTACACGGGACGCAAACTTAGCCCCAATCAAGCATGAGCACATGTATACCGTAATTAGAGGGATATGGCGAAATTTATGTTCCCACCCAACTCCCTTGTCTCCTTAATACAATCTAATCCTGTAATAACTTTTTCCTTCGACTTAATCGTAAATCTGAAGATCCAGAATTAAGCGAGTATGGAATCAAAAATGGTTCTAGATGGATCTCTATTGGAGCGAAATTGAGACCTGTCTATAGAGAGAAGATGAGGAAAGTATAACTGGGCCTTAAAGGAGCTAAAACGAGCCCCTTGGGTATTAAAATGGACCTTTTAATACATGCTTAAGCTAACTCTGCTATGTGCTTAAGTTACTCGGGCCAGCTCAGAAATGTTTAAAAATACTTATTCTTGGCTCAGGTTAAAGCAGTAACTGCTTATGTCCAGACACTAAAACGGAACCAGCGACTAAAAAAAGTTGAGTTTGACTTATGTGGCAGTTCAGGTGAGTTTGTGTAAGGAGAGGGTGAGCCGAGGGTGATTAGCGCCTGAGTAAAAGCGGCAAGCTTACTAACCAAATGTGGAATGAAAATTAAAGGATTAGAGTTCAACTACCGATATAATCAGTACCGAATCTGGACCTCTCCAAAGTCCACTTCCGTCTTTGGACCTAAACAGTCGCTGCTTTAACCTGAGCCGACCCCTGAGCCCTGAGCACGGCAATGAGTCAGCTAGATCGTACTTAGGGGGATACGCAGATTCGGGTTTAACCTTCACTAATGACTCGCTAAGGCGGAAAGGTTCTCTTACTTTACTACAGAGATTCCTGGAACTCCTACATCTCGTCAACACACTACTTGACATCTCTTCGTGTGTTATAGCAACTTGGTTAACCTAATCTCATACGAAAAGGTATTTATCCCTTATTCTCTTCATTCCTCTTCTGATATGAAAAGAAGACGGAGGAGGTATATCTCCCGCCCGGAAACAGTTATATGCTCTACGATGCTCACAAGATTGAGGCTCTCGCAGACACTGCGATGTCTTTTGGTTCCCGTGTCTGTAGGGGGTACAACGTCCTTAACGTTAAAGTTATGGAATGCGTGCTGGAGAAATGTTGTCTGGGGTTGAGCCTGCCGATTAAGTTGTTCATAATAATCACGTTTCTGTCTTTCATACCAGAAATCCTTCTTCCGGAAATCCTCGTCCCTGAGACCCACTTCCTCATGCCGATAATCCTGATCCCGAAAATCCTGATCACGTGGATAGAAGCTGTAGTGTCCCAAATCTTGGTCGCTTTCCATCACTTCGCACCATGGAGTCGATTCCCAGTACGTAGTGCCTAGAACTAGAATGCAATCAACGCCCTTGTAGTTGACAAGCGGAGCACCCAATTTCTTGGAACCCTGGCCAAGATAACGCTGCGATTGCATTGTTCGAGTTTCGGGGTCGTAGAGCTGGGGCGGTAGGCATGTCTCACATCGTTCGAGTACTTGAATCTCTCCAAGAAGCCAAACTGATCGTTACTCGGATATCGCGTCTAAGGGTCGACGCGTTCAGGCATTGCTAACCAAAATACTGGAAGCGGTGGAAACTGTGGTTCTTGTTTTACAAAAATAGACATGAACTTCCAGTCGTTAACGATCCTCTCTAAGACCGAGAATATTAGTTGACGGTCGGGAAAAATTATTTTCATAGAAAATATCATAAACCCACTTGTCTCAACTTCAATTAAGCTAGCTTGCGGCTTGGTCGGATCAAAGCCTCTTAGTTGAGGGTCGGCCGGAAATTAGTAATTTGAGCCAGAGCTGGCATCAGAAACACCCTGATTGGCGAATTCGAAAAGAAGAGACATATCAACCCTGGCGTATTGCTCACTAGTTGAAGCAAGACGTCTCAATCGAATACCTGGTAGGTGGCCTGGAAGCGGTCCAATAGCACAACTAAGAATCGCCATATATACTAGTTCGGATGGATAACTTGAATCTTGACAGACTAAAAAGTTGACCTTGAGGCCTTTGTTTGTGGATGTCGAGGTCGCAGGTTCTGGTGTTTCAATATAGAATTGCGAAATGCTCTTTGAGTATTGAAAAAGTTCGGGGGAAGGAGCTAATAGGCCTTGGGGATTGCATTCTTCAGGGTAGTCATCCCGGTAGGGTTTGGCCGTAGGATCCCTCCAAGCAAAAATCGATTGGTCATCTGTTATCTTCAATATTTCTTCCTGTAGTCGAAGGAATGCCTTTGTCCCTCCCCATACAATAGCGGTATGTTAATCGCGAATATTCCGAGCAAACAATAGGCCATATCTTCTAGTCGTGTCGTTCAGGCTTGGCAAAAATTCCTGAGGCATCGATACCGGTATCGATAGTAGAGGTATTTTTCAGGTATCGCAAGGAATCGATAGTATTAATACCAGAATCGATTCTTACCCCAAAAATTAACTCTTTCTTTTATTATTTAAATTATATAATAATACATTATTATGTAATTCCTTTAATTTCTAGTCTTTCTATTAAAAGAAATACTTACTATTATTAATAAAAGTTAATAATATCTTAAATTTAAAATAGCCCTCGTATTCGGAGAATTAAGCCCCGTATTCGTATTTCTTATCAAGACGCTAAATATATAAGCGAGCCTTACGAAAATCTCAAAAGCTCAAAAGCTCATTTTTACTTAAAATAGCCGCATTGAGATGAGTTTTAGTCTAAAATATAAGATAAGTAGCTAAATAGAAAGCCTAAATTAAGTAGAGTATTTGCGCTACTAAAAGTTTTCTTATAAGAAAAGTGGTTCTAAAGTTAATTACAATCAAAGGGGGGAATTGGGTTCGGGGAATCGATTCTGGAATCGATAGTATCGATACCTGACGATTCTGGCATCGATACCTATCGATACCGGAAATTAAGGAATTTTTGCCAAGCCTGGTGTCGTTTGTCGGTTTGCAACCCATGAGATTCTCCGAGCGACACTCAGCCACGATAAGTCACCGCCCGTCAATGCGTAAAGATCTATCTTGGTGATAGTCGAAATATTATCAATCAGGTCAAATTTTGTGCCAAAAGATTTCCAGTCTCTGTCAAAAAATTGAAGTCGAGTGGGTGCTAGCAACTCTTGTAACGTCCAGCCGCGTGTGAACCAGCGAGACGTAAAAAAGTCATGACCTTTTTTTTTGCTGTTGTATACATCTGCGAGCAGAACATAGCAGCCTGCTGAATCCCTGTACCAAGCATACATGGAGTTTATTGCTTCTGATAGCTCGGTAGAGCTGGTTTTGTCGATACAGCAGGTGTCGATCCAGATATACTGGTACCCATCCCGCTGAGCTTGTGCGCAGCTGCGTCTAATTTTGGGGAAACCATGCTTGCGCTCAGCCAACTTCCGATCGCCAACCATTTCCTGAAAAGAGACTTCTTCAGGGTCCCATACATGAGATAAGATTGCATAGGTCGGTATTGTGTTGCCTCCATCCCCAACGTTATGTAGCCCCTTCGCCCCAAAGTCTGGGATTGCCGTGCTCGCAGAAAACTCGTTAAGCTCTGAAGTTCCGGTATCCAGAAGACGCATCTTCGTAACACAAGTGTTCAAGTGTGTTGTGATCCGCTGTTGTGGGCACCAGCGCCTTTAATCGTGCGTCAGGACTTGCACTAAATCCCCTACGTCCCTGCGGGTTTAGTGCGTATCAGCGATACGGTCTTTTTTTTTTAGAATACCAATTTTCGGAATTTTGGTAAAAATCAAAGAAAAATATTTTACAGTTTATATGGAGTTTATACTATAATTAATAATTGAAATTCTCTTACTTTCACATCGTATATGCACGCAGTATAAAATGCTGGAAATATTACATACTTTACCTCGTCGGCAACCCCCCCAAAATGCTTCGATTCTAAGAAATCAATTAATTATACAACTACCATGTCTTAATTCGTATACCCAATAATTGTCTCCTTCCCATTAGTAGCTAATCTAACTATATTACTAAAGCCATTATTATAAAATGAAGGGGAAAGGGGGGAGTGGCTTGACAAAACCAAATTCTCTACCTAGCATTTATTATTATACGCAAATATGTATCGCCTGGTGGGTGGATACGCTCTCTCCCAGAATCTTATTAGCCATCCCCCGCACTCTCTTGAGGTTAATATTATGGCCTAAACAGATCAAAAAATTAATAAACTGCTTTAGGGCATTTTCCTGATCACGATAAAGGGCCTTATTAAAGCCCCCTTTGGTATTTTGTGGTAATCGGCCAGCGAGCCGCGCTTTCCAGAGGCGTAACCGAAGCCCCGCACCAAAACACGTCCCGCACCAAAACACGTCCCGCACCAAAACACGCTCTAGTAATATTTCAAAATCTTAATAATTAAATAACCACAAATCCTTTCAACTTTATTTTTAAAATATAGAGACTATAGATATAATCGAGTAAATTATTAAAATTATAAGAATAATCTTCTTATAACTAAAAAGTTATTATTATTATTGTTGGTACAGCTGTTCCTTTGGGAGTCACGTGCGTAGTCACGGGATACGGGATACGGGACACGGGACATGGGCAATGGGACATAGGCAATGGGACATGGGATACGGGACATGGTCATGTGACCTCGCGTCCCATTAGTGACTCGACCAGTAGACTAGACCCCTTTAGGCTTAGCAGATTTAGGGATCGCATATTAATACCACGATACTGCGATCCTTACTTCTGAAGAACAACTTCACTAACCTTACGCAAATAGCACTTCCACGAATACGTAACGGTACCATGCATTACTAGTAAACCGATACTAATCAGTTTGCATTCAGATCAGAACAAGGTCTATTAGTACTTACAGATCAGGAAGGATTAAGCTACGCTTGCCTAAGATTCGGTTACTTAGGGGCAAAGCCATCGTTCCAGTTAAAGAAGGGATAACTATTAATCCTATTACCTGTAATTCGGTTATACAGGCAGGAAAGATACTTGATCTTACTAAGGCCTAATTATACTATATTAAAAGGAGGAATATCTATTAGTCCTATTACCTGTAATTCGGTTATACAGGCAGGAAGGGTACTTAATCTTACCAAGTACTAAAACGGTTAGCTATTTAACTATTCCATTCTATTCCTATTTAACTCCTATAAAACCTTCTCAAAAACCACCTTCTTTTAAACCCCTGGGGCTCTTAAGCTTCAGAACCGTCGAGTTCTCCCGGAATCTCAATATTTCATTCCTTAAATTTCACTTCCTAAATTTCACTTTCTAAATTTCTTATTATAGACGAAATTTTTACTTTAAATATAATACCTACTATAAACTACCTATCTTATAAACTATTCTTCTTCTTATAAACCTATTCTCCTTATAAACTACTATATCTCGAACTAGATACGAGCCTATAGAATATATAATAGCAGAATATACTATAGTAGATAATTTCTTTATTAGATCTATCTAATCTAATTATTCTATAAATAATAATAATTTTAAGGAATTAGTAAGAAAGTAAAGATATAGGATTAATCTAAACTTTACTAAAGTAAATAAGATAACTGAGTTCTTAAATACTAAGCTATTTTAATATATTTTCTATAAAATAGTTAATAATAACCTTTAGAAGCTATTTAGATATAATTTTAAGGATTTTACTTATTAAGAGAACTTTAATAAATTTGAATTCCCGGAAATATTATACCTATATAAGATTCTTTAGTATAGTAATATATTTATATAATAGAATAATAATACTAATACTATTATAAATATCCTATATACTATTATAAAGGAGAATAAATAGTATATATAATTAAATAAGAATATATTAGTAGCTAGACTAGATCTTATTAAGGAACTAATTCTATTAGGCTTTATTATTCTTATAAAAAACAAGTATTTAGAACCTATTATCTTTAATATTCCTATATTACTATTATTTCCTTTACTATTTCCTTTATTACTATATCCTATATTTCTACTAGATTTATATACTAGTATAGAAGCTCTAGAAATAAATAGTATATTCTTATTATTACTATTACTATAACTATATTCAAATAACCCCTAATTCTCCTTAATTATAAGACTTATTAGGAAAGTTACTAAAATCTATACTAAAGAATAAAAGTATAATAGATCTAATAGTAATTTTAACTATAAACTTACTATTTTCCTTAATATTTACTAATATATAAAGCTTTTATAAGAGGTACTAATACGAGCTTTTCTTACTATACTAAAGGAACTAGCTCAAGACTATTTCTATAGTAACTAGCTCTCTTAATATATATATAAAAAGGCTTATATTAATATTTATAGCTTTTTTAAAGGCCCTAGATTCGAATATTAAAATTTAAACAAGTAAAATACTATTATATTAGCTTCTATAATAGCTAAATTTCCGGGAAAAAAATATTTAAGACTATTTAATTACTAATTAATAAACTATATTAATTATAATATAGTCTTATATCTAATTTACAAAATACCGAATTCCTCTATAATAAGATTATTATTTCTTATTAAGGCTTCCGGGTATATAAATATATAACCTTAGACCCTCTTATAAATCTTGGCTAGCTTATTAATAAGCTCTAGTTATTTATTACTATATATAAGAGCAAATAATAAGCTAATCCCGAAATCTTCTTTATTAATTAATAATATTACTCTTAGAACTTTCTAAGCTATTATTTCTCCGGAAATTATTTCTCCGGAAATTATTTCTCCGGAAATTATTTCTCCGGAAATTATTAATACGGATTTAGCCATAACTTCAGAACCTGTAATAATTACTCTAAATCCCGTAATTATAATAATTATATCTCGAAATCATGTTTTATATATAAGAAACCTAAATACTACTTATAGAAATATATACTAGAGAAATAAGAGGCTAAGAAGGCTTAATTTAGGAATAGAAATATCTATTAGTTTAGATTTCGAAATATCTGTAATTTTAATAAATATTTTAATAGTATTTATATATAATATATTACTAAAGCCAAAAATAAAAATAAAATAAGAATAATAAAAATAAACTAGTAAATAATACTTTTAAGGCTTTATTAGTAGAAATAAATAAAGAAAAGAAATACTACCCAGATTCCTACTTTACTTTAGTTAAGAACTTTTTAGCTACTTTTACTACTCTTATTTTACTAATAATTATAGCTAATATTCTTATAAATAATCTTATTTCTCTTTCCTTTATATACTAGATAATAGGCAAAAACCATACTTTAGAGCCTATTAAATCCTTAATAAAAGATATCTAGACTTTTATAATTAATAGTATATTAAGATATAATACTTATTACTTTTATAAAATTATAATTAATACCGGAACCTCTCGATATTTAATTACTAGTTCTAACTAATTTCAAGCTCTCTAGTAAACTAATAATAGTATTAAACTTAATAAAATTACTAAAGATTAAGTTAATATCTAGTTTAGTATTAGATCTATATCTTCTATTAAATCTATAATAGTAAGTATACTAATTAGGTAAGTATAATTTTATATTATATCTTTAAAAACTCTTTTTTTACTTAGCTTAGCTAATATAAATAAGCTAGAGATCTACTTTAATAATCTTATTAATTATCTTATTACTTTTACTAGAAAATATATATTTATAATATAATATTTCGAATACTCTTTCTTGCTTTAAAATACTATATTATAAGGCTTTATTTCCGAATTCTTTACTTATAACTCCTGCTTTTTTATAAAAATTAAATTATAATATCTATACTATTATTTTAGTTATTTATTTATTAGTAAACTCCGAAATATACTAGAATAAGCAGGCTATAATATTAATATAAAAGCCTTTAAGTATCTTATAAAGTACTATAAGTAATACCAGAAATATAGCTAATTACCTAAATAATTTAAGTTTAATCTAAGAAATAATATTAGCTTTAATTACTTTATTATTATTAATATTTTCTATATTTCTAATAAGCCTATACTCTATATTATTAATAAAGGTACTTAATATTAAGCTAGCTAATAGCTCTAAAATATTAGTATAATATATACCTGAAATATATTTAAGTAATACTAGATTAATAATTATTTAGGTTTTTCTAATTAGATTATAGTAAATACCGGAAAGCAGTTTACTAGTAAGAAGTTTGCTTAGCTTATAAATACTATAGGAACTAAGGTTAAGATTATTCTTATAGAAACTTATAATTCTATCGGAATTATAGAATATTACTATAGCCCGATTTAATATATTTACCTTATTATTATAGCCAAAATTAATAGAATTAATAAGAATACCGTATTTTAAATAGCTTTTAAGGCTATTAATAACTTTATAGGACCTAATAGTATTATTCTAACCCTTTTGGTTTATAATACTTTATTTTAAATAACCAAATATAATATCTTATTACCTACTATATTATAGTAATTAATAGTACTTAAGAAAGCAATAATAGAAATTTAGAAGCTTTAAGCTAGACATTA